AACGCGCATAACCAGGACTTCGGAATCATACAAGTCTGCAGTGACTAACCGCAGATTATATATATAATGTTGATGCAACATTATAGACGCACGTGTGTGTTGCCTAGTTACAAGGAAGCTGCAAGCCAGCAATCGATAATCGGCAAGAATAAAAAAGTATTACATGTGCAACCGCTCTCTCCAAAACGCCTTTACATGTCAGTGTCACTGGAAAGTGGAAAGGTTCAATATCATAGGTTGTACACGAGACAAAGAAGACACACGCACGCACACACACACGCACGCACACACGCACGTACGCACACGCACACACACACACATAGCACGCACCACACACACACGCACGCACGCACGCACGCACGCACACACACACACACACACCTCACGAAAACAAACTATGGTGTATGTACTCTCGATTCACAACGCAGTACTACATGACATCTAAATTCAAACAACATAGCACTGCTCTCGACAAGTACCCACTACTCCACCAAGCAATAGTCGTGAACATGGCAAGCAACACTGGCTAACAACACAAAGCATGGCTAAGCCAATATAGAGCATGGAAACTACAGAAATGCCTTAAGAGCGGCAGAATACAGTACAGAAACAAAGACCTGCACTTCAGCTTAACGCCTATAACAGTAGCTGACAGTCACCCGTTACTCATGCCTTTCCAGGAGAGAGGGCGTAAGACAGTTTGGCCAGGGGCGAATTGACACTTCTTAATGCTGATTCAACACGCATATTATGCAAACACGCATTGCTGATTACACAAAACAAGCATTATTGATATAACAAGCCTTGAAACGTGAACACGAATGGCAGGAGAGCAATTTCTTAGCACAGGTAGCATGAAGCGGAAAATACAAGTTTATTACAAGTTTACAACGCATGCAAACAAACCAACGACAGAGAGAAGTACGGACCACTCCATTTGGGTGAAAGCCCGCAGCCTGAAAGTTTAGTTCCGTGATTAGTAGCCAATGAACTGAACTTACAGCAACGACTAAAACTGGTCGCCACCAGCAGAATTGATCTTCACGCACGTCCAGTTTCTGCGAAGCTACGCAGAAGTCCTACTGGGCTGAAAATTGGCTTGCAGATCGACCCATTGTCGAAAAAATAACCATTCTCGTTTGCTCTTGGTGCACAGACTCACTCGCCAACCAATGCGTAGGCCATTAGCATGGGGCATGGCCTTTTGTGTCATCTAGACGCCTAGCACTCCCATGGTTGCAATCACTCTGCAATCAGCACCTGCCCTCGTCCTCAAACACTTGAGTGCTGCCACACGTTTCATCGCCTGTGAATGCAATACCTAGGGTCGCCCTTCTTGTTGACATTTCCGTGCGTGTATATGCGCATGGCTGATCTTTGTTAATACAGTGTGTCAGATTATACCAGCTCAGTTGTTAGCACTTACAGTTAGGCTTCAAGCAAAATCAGCATCGCTGTCGAGCACTAGCTGAGGATAAGGAATGGAATGTGGCGCACATGTGGCATAGTTCAAGGTTCATGTGAGAGCGAGATGTTTGCCACAACTGCTGCCATATTACTAGGCATCTGCGCACTCCTCTCTTGCCCTTAGCTGACTGTAGTTTGTTACAACCAAAACCTCTCCGTGTAATTAGACGCTGAGCGGCGATGACCACTTTCATTTAATATGTGAAATAATTGCTTATTTTGAAACAATGAATGGCAATAATCATTGAGTATTATCAACCAGATTGCACCTAATGGGTAAAAATCGTACCTTTCTAAAAATATGAATGGAAAAAATATTACATTACCAGATCGTATTTTAGCCACGCTGATAGCTACCTTATCTACTAAACTTAGTTCTAGTAACTATAGCCCGCGGATTCGTCGCCGCAGGGCTATAGGCACATTCTGCATAGATGTAATCTAAGCAAATGGTCCAACTGAATGGTTGACCAAAAATTTATCCCAAACGTAAGAATGCATCGCGGCTTTTTAAACTTATCTATCAACATGGACATCTCACCTATCTTTTTGAGAACACTTCCACAACGTTACACCAGGTATTTTATGCTGTTATTCCTCAGAAGTTTTAGCATACTGGTGTTTTTTTCAAATGCGGCTTGCTCTGCTATGTGTGCACGCGTGACTCTTCATGCTAAGACTTTGAGGAAATAACAGCATAAATAACGCTGGTGTATAACGTTGTGGAAGTGTTCAATAAGATAGTGTGAGATGTCAATGTTGATAGATTAGAGTGTTAAAAAGCCTCGATCATTTTAAGCGTTTTGGGCGATACATTTTTGGTCACAATCAGTTGGAGCCATTTTCTTTAGATCACATCTATGGCAGAATGTGCTATAGCCCTGCGGCAGCGATCCGCGGGCTATAGTACTAGAGCTAACTAATACTATGCTATGAAATTAAATGATGCTGAACAAACTCCCAAACCAGGAATTACATAATTCAAGAGTAGTGCATACCTATAACCATAGATCTATCCAATACATATCCAAATTCTAATCCAATAATAGACATATGATTATTGTCCAATCATGTGTCCAATCATATACTGCTTGCAAACGAATTACTAACTGGAGACGGATCTTGTAACTAATAAAAAATAAATGTAAACACGGTGTAGAATCGCCACTCAATCGGCACTTGACTTTGTAAATAATTGTTAAACCAACATCAGACAAACTCTAGCAAGAAAGTTTTAATGAACGTCTCACCTTCGTCACTGATATAACGATATACTGATACTAACATACACGTAGAAACTTACCGAGTCAGTGCGTAATACTAGGGTGACTGACAATACTACCCCCTACACCGGATTTCCGCACGTCGTCGACACTAAACTAACCCACTAGCCTCTCTACACAGATGAGCGAAACAGCATACACACCATAAACCAACGTGAACTCGTGCACCTCCTGATTTCCTAAGTATAGCACTCCTACTTCTACTACGCTTCTTGCTAATATATACTACTACACCCGCAAATTTCGCCATGATCTAATACCAGCTACTACATATGAACGTTATTTTGCGTAAAACTAGCTATATCGTATTTGAACAAATTACCTATCCTCGTATGAATTCCTCGTTCATCGGGTAGAGTATCACAATTTCAACCACAACGATCGAGCTTGTTGTTGTTTTGACTGCGCGAGATATCGCGAGACTTATAAGAACAGCTGATTACCATAATAACACCAGAACATCGCTATCGTCAGCGTAACTGTAGCTGCTCTCTTCGTGTCGCTTGCTTGATACACTTGCGCTGTGAAAATTAAATAAGCGTAAATAAAATAAAATTTTAGTTACCCGGGTAATGTTCATTTCGCAAAGTTCGTAACTAGCTATAATCGTAGTGATAATAACAGTAGCACATAAATGTAAAGAGCAACTTCATATTCAATCAGGCAGTAAAAATGAGTTATAAAATTCGAAAATCATGCACAGGTTTATGATAAGAAAGAATTCAGAAACGCATATAATGCAAATTTCCCAGTTAGTTAAAAATGTATTATAAATGTATACTAAAATTTCATTAGTCTGAAATTATCTGTATATACGATGGAAAACATAGTCGTAAAATATACACGATTGCTCGTATGGTGAATAAATGAGAAAGTAAATCAGAGGTATTGAGAGATTCTTAATTATCGTAATAAATCTATCTATCTATTTATTTATTTATCTATCTATCTATCTATCTATCTATCTATCTATCTATCTATCTATCTATCTATCTATATCTATCTATCTATTGAGTGTGCGTGTGTGCAATAATATATAATACTAGTTATATATAATATAAATATATACTATATACTAAAGTTAAAATATATATACGTGTGTATAGTGTGTTTGTGCACCAAATACAAAGTGCAGTTGATACCAGCACAGAAGCATTCTATATACAGAGATTTCCTTTTCATTTTTTTTTTTTTCCCGGCATCTAGCTTCGTAATTGATTGTTGTCTGTATGTTGTTATCAAGTGTACTGTTGTCTCTACAACTCGTCGCATACTTCTGTACAGTTGGTTATTAGCAATCGTGTTTCTGTATACCACTGTTACAACTATTAGTCGAATAATAATAAGGCCATGCAGATGTGCTTTGTAAATGCTGTTGTAAAGCGTGCTGGCGTGTCATGTAATTATAAAAATAACTATAGCACACGCGAAGTCTCAGAAATCAGCGATAATATTACAGCGGGCTACGTATAATCACGCGTACTATACATTATATTGCGTGCTGCCATGCGTAAACAAATGCACACGGAGGCACTGAGGCTGAGCAATGTTCCGTTGTCACTGAGCTGTATACTGATAATTTATCTGTATTCACCTTTATTGCAATACAGACTCAGTGAGTGGTCCCTCATAATCTAGAATATCAGGTATATCAGGATGTATATGCATACCTATTTCAATATTTTTTTTCTCGTCTCTCTCTCTCCTCTCTCTCTCTATAAATATCATATATACATAATGTCGGGGGGTTGTGTGTGTGTGTCGTGTGTGTGTGTGTGTGTGTGTGTGTGTGTGTGTGTGTGTGTGTGTGTGTGTGTGTGTGTGTGTATGTGTGCGTGTGTGAGTGTGTGTGTGTGTGTGCGCGCGCGCGCGTGTGTGTGTGCGTGCGTGCGTGCGTGCGTGCGTGCGTATGTGTCTTTGTGGGGCGTGCGTGCGTGTGTTTGTGTGTGTAATATAATTTCTATGGTGCCCCTGCTGTTTGTCTCCAGTAGATGTCACTACCTATCGTACGATCGACGGAACGGTATGGCTGACTATTCAACTCCAGAATAATCACAAAGCAAAGCCATTGTTAAATATTGCCTCAACCAATAAATTTTTACCTGCAAGACTAATCATGTGTCAACTCTACTTATAAACCTGACACTATTTATCTAAACATTAAATGACCGTAACTTTAGAAAAGTTATGAGAATATGTTACGTCATTATTTAATCGTAAAATCCAAGGCTCAATTCACGTATACTCCAAAATATCAATTTGTTGTTTCCGCGTAGGTTGTATACTAAAACCAGTGACTAAAACGCTGTAATCTGATTATTTTATAAACATTATTTACTAGCGGAGGTGGTTTTTGATGCTTTAGGACCCATTAAAGGAAGAAATGATGTCCAGATCTGTGCGTGCGGAAACGCGAAGCCGAGCGAAAGATGAAATCAAGCGGGTCATGCAAGCAATTGACAAAGTCAGGCGCTGGTAAGAAGTTAAAGAGATCGTTTACTCTTGTTCTAGGGTTACTTTCAGTTAATTTAGGTTAAAATTACGATACATAAAAAGTTTCATGGTTCAATCACCATTATAAATATTATTAAAAAATGTTTTAAAACTAACGACTACAGTTTGATTACAACGACGGTGGCGCCACTCAAAGCGCACGATCTCAGATCTGATGAGTTGCGCAAAACCACTTCAGCCAAGGTCTACAGACCGAGGGAGTTTCTTATTTGATTAATTTAAAAGCAAAAGGATTGTAATATCTTATAAACGACATACCGGTATAGTTTCAGTTATAATATGGATAAATTTGCCCTAAAATGAATATCGTTTGGTTAAAGGGACAGTAGCCTCTAGGATTTTACTGCATACAACTGTACTTACTGTATAACAAATCGTCTATACCCACACGTATTTGTTACTAGATACCTAATTTAATTGTTATAATTAATTACACATCAACGCTATGAAATTTGAATGGCGCCATGACACCCGCGATCGTGCTGCCACCCCGAAAAAGTTGCGTATTTGACCATTTATTTTGCACGTTACAGACCGAGGGCTAATTACAAAAGTGCAATTATATTTATACCTAAATGCTATTTAACCGAACGATATTCATTTTAGGGCAAAATCTATCCATATTATAACTGAAACTATATGTCGTTTAAATAAGATATGACAATCTTTTTGCTTTTAAATGAATAAATAAGAAACACCCTCGGTCTGTAGCCCTTGGCTGGAAAGTGATTTTGCGCAACTTATCAGATCGTGCGCTTTGAGTGGCGCCACCGTCGGTGTAATTAAACTGTAGTCGTTAGTTTTAAAACATTTAAAAAAAATATTTCCAATTGTGATTGAACCATGAAACTTTTTATGTAGCGTAATTATAACCTAAATTAGCTGAAAATAACCCTAGAACCTAGAGTAAACTCTCCCTTTAAATAGTATTTATGTATAAATATAATTGCACTTTTGTGATTAGACCTCGGTCTATACCGTGCAAAATAAATTTTCAAATACGCAACTTTTTCGGGGTGGCGGCACGGTCGCGGGTCTCATGGCGCCGTTCAATCATAGCGTTGATGTGTAATTAATTATAACAATTAAATTAGGTATCTGGTAACAAATACGTGTGGTATAGACGATTTGTTATACAGTAAGTACAGTTGTATGCAGTAAAATCCTAGAGTCTACTATCCTTTTAAGAATTCTGATTTCGTTAGTTGGCTTTAAGTTTACGCAGTGGCTACGCGTCCGGAACCGGTCGCCTAGCCTGCAGGCTACGTGTCCGGACATCCACTTACACAGTGATCGCGCGACTCGCGTACACGCATGATTGCGCAACGGGACTCTGCTGCCGTCTATCCTTTCATCCGTCATCTCTCTCTCTCACACACACACACGCACAGCTCTCTCTCGCTCTCTCTCTCTCTCTCTCTCTCTCTCTCTCTCTCTCTCACACACACACACCTCTCTGAGGCTCTCTCTCTCTCTCTCTCTCTCTCTCTCACGCATACACACACACATACACATTCCCATTCCCTCTCTCTCTCTCTCTCTCTCTCACACACACACACACACACACACGGCAATCAGCAGAGCGTCCCATTGCGCAATCCTGCGTGTACGTGTCGCAAGCTCACTGTGTGAGATGGATGTCCGGACGCGTAGCCTAGCGGCTCCTCGTCCGGAACCGGTCGCGTAGCCACGGCCTAAAGTTTAACTTCAAGTCAATGTGTTTTTTTATAAACCTGCTCATACTTATAGATGAGAACATGTTTGTGTTCAGTTTGTAGCTAATCCTTTTGTGAGCAACCGCCCCATGGGTTGCTGTATATACCAACGTAATAGTACCTTTCGGTTGCCATACATCATACAGGCACACTATGTTCAGAGTATGTATCATTGACATTGTATGGAATATAATATCAGGAGTAGATAATAGAAGCCTATTATTTACTCCTGATAATATGTATCAGTGAAAAAAATACACGGGGGCTCGGGGCGATTTAGCCCCCGAAATGCCAAAAAGAGCCCCCGTAAATTTGCATAGAGTTCAATGCTAACCAAATTTTAGAGTGCTATTTTTATGCACGCGAGCTTGAAAAGTAGCCCCCGAAAAATAAATTATATTTTTTTCCCTGATATGTATGTATGTGTGAGTATGAATGGTCAGAACTGCAACCACGTCTGGTTGTGGGGGCACCATGAGTGAGTATACGATACCTATGACTGTCAATCAATTATTATCGTTACAGGGAAAAAAAGTGGGTGACAATCGGTGACACATCCCTAAGAATCTTCAAATGGGTTCCAGGTATGTTATAGTTGGTCGTCATGGTTGTGTTACACATTTTACGAGTGTATGATGTTTATTTTTGTATTTTATAATTGTATTGTAAAATGATTTTCCAAGTATATTAATTTTCTTTATAAGAATATAGTTCACAGTCTAAGATCTTACCTATCAGAACAACAACTGTGGCATTTAGACAAATGACAGCAGTTATTTACCAAAGTTTCTCAATTTAAAAATAAAGAGTACCCATGTGTTACATTTTTCAGTTCCAAACCAGGAACCACATGTGAGTTTTTAATTAATGTAGTCCTTTTTATTTATTATTATTAAAAAAAACTACTTCATAACTATTTCACTTTTTACGATATTCCTGAATTCTATGGTAGATCATAGTTATAGCTGGCATAATATGATATAAGCTATGAATGTAATATTCTGTCCAGGCTTGATCTAGTTTTTCTCATCATCTTCAATCTTACATGTACCACTATAGTTCACAACTAATGTTCTTCTGTTCTGTATCTTATATCTGTTTCTCTTTTCAATGAATAAAATTAGCATGTGGACATTTCACAGTTAATTTTAGCTGTTTAGTGTTGTCTGGTCTTAGGATTCTTTTAAGATGTTGTAGCATTGACTGGTGTTCTGACTCCTGCTGGTAATACTAGATCCAGTTTTATTAGCTACATTCATACACTTTTACTATAATCTGTGAGTAACTGTGTTCCCAGAATCTATCTGGACACTTGTGTCTATAACCTGACTATTTCTTCCTTTTCTTGCACCCTTGGACAGATATCCTTCAAAATGCCAGTAAAGGTATTATAGGTTTTAAAATTTGCATGTTGTCTGACATCTAATCAAAATGTGTGTGTGCCTTTGGATAAGGGATCGGCGTTTTAATTTACACGTCATATGCAGGGTTGAAAATAACTTGTATCTTGGAGTTGATTATGAAATTGACTCACAAACTCATTATATTGTTGCATATTGTTGCATATTGTTGCTGCCACTGATTATAACAAAACTTAGACTTAAGAACATTTCGCACACATCTCTCCTGTTACGTAATCATCGTAAGTATCACAAAGTATATTTACATCGGATGTAATCGTTTTTTTCTTTGTACTTTTGCATAACAGTCATGTCGCAGCAGTGTTTCTGTATTCATACGCGTGACAATAACTCTTTATTCATCACCCTCTCACCTTCCAACAGAAATTGCAGGGTGTTGCGAAATTCGGCCTCCGGGAGAAGAAGATTAAGACGCGATCCTCCGGCTTCAAGCGCATAAACGTCGACAATGAGAACAGCGAGAACACGCCGCCATCTCTGTCGGTGCAGGACGAGGACACGAGAGGTAGGTGGCAGCACGTGTTCTTCTCTGTCTATCTCTCTCTGACCCGTTCTCGCTCTCTCACGTTCTCTCTCTCTTTCTCTCACTCTCTCTCGCCCTTTCTTGCCCACTCTATCGATCTCCCCTTTCCTTCGCATGCTCTCCCTCTCTCTATCTCTTCTGCTGTCTATGTACCTCTAGCTTTGAGGACAGGAAAGGTAGGTGGCAGCACGTTCTCCTCGCTCTCTCGTCATCTTGTACCCGGCGTTTCTCGGCGTGCCGCTGCTTATACTAGCGCTCACATTCGTCTCCTTGCCTCTCTCGTAGACTCACAGATCGGAGAGGACGGACTGAGTGGCTCGGGAGAGAACTCCAACTCCGTGATAGACAACCAGAGCTCTTCACAGATGTACGAAGATTCCAGCCTGCTCAAGTCCACCAGTGAGCTTCACCCGTGCCAGTCCACAGGTGAGTGATAGTGATATATGGGTGAGTGAAGGTGATCTACAGGTGAGTGATAGTGATCCGCAGGTGAGTGAAGGTGATCTATGGGTGAGTGCTAGTGATCTACAGGTGAGTGATAGTGATCTACAGGTGAGTGCTAGTGATCCGCAGGTGAGTGATGGTGATCCGCAGGTGAATGCTAGTGATCCGCAGGTGAGTGCTAGTGATCTACAGGTGAGTGAAGGTGGTCTATGGGTGAGTGAAGGTGATCTACAGGTGAGTGAAGGTGGTCCACAGGTGAGTGATAGTGGTTGCCGTCTTTTTTTGTAATAGCATCATGATATTAACCTTCAGTGTTACTGCTGCGACAACACCACAGTGTTAGAGCAACCGAAGCGCTTAAAGTGATTACGTCACCATAAATAGTAAAAGTAAAAAAATATTTCCACTTTTTCACAAAATGCAAGTAATTCTGCTCACTTTTTATGGTTAAATTGCTGCATTATACTTCCTATTTTACTATATTGTTGAAAACATATTGTAAACATACACTCGAGACTCATACATAGCCCATAGCAAGCAATTAATGTCAGGATCATAATATCAAATCGTCCAGGTTTTTTGGATTTTTAACTAGTTGAGAACAATCTTATCAGGTAAGAATTTGACGATACATTTAGTCCCGTTAGTACTTACATTTAATGTTAATAAATGGCACCAAAATTTTTAAAAATATACACCGTAGTAAATTCGTGACGTAGTCAATTTAAGCATCTCCGTCGATCGAAAGCCGATGTTTGAACGCCGAATATACGGTCAATGTGCTCACTGTGTTTCCGTGTCTCTGCGCGCGTTTAGGACCACTGACGTTCGAGGGCACCGTACCAAACTCCCAGGACGATTCCAACGCTAACTTCCCGGATAGCTCCTGCGTGAGATCGGAAGACGAGGACTCTCGCTCCGAGTTGAAGTTTTGTGAGTGCACCCACTATATTCAGGAAAGAGTCACTTTGCATATGCCGTCTATATTCAGGAAATAAGCATTTTGCATGTGCCCTTAATTTTCGGAGAATATTAACTCGGTTCGCATGCACCTTCTATATTCGGAGAATATTAACTCGGTTCGCATGCGCCTTCTATATTCGGAGAATATTAACTCGGTCCGCATGCGCCTTCTATATTCGGAGAATATTAACTCGGTTCGCATGCGCCTTCTATATTCGGAGAATATTAACTCGGTTTGCGTGCGCCCTCAGCATTCATTAAATAGTAGCTCGTAAGTATTAACTCGTAATCCTCAATAATTCATAAATAATTTATAAAATATTAACTCCTAAGTAACAACAAGCGTCGTTCACTTACCGTCAGACAGAGCCGAGGTAAACGGTTGCGAAATCGATGCAGATTCGTGCGAGGGAGGCTTCAATAGGGGAGATATCAGCAAGTGATGGGTACTCAGTGTTGTTCGTTGGCATTTTCAGCAATGGGAATGCTAGGTGGTGAGGAATCGTTCCAGCCTGGCGACAGTATTGATGACTCGCAGGGTAAGAGCGCCACGGCAACAACAGAAGAGAAAGTTACTGTTATGGATACGGATGATTTGTGACAGCATCCAAGTGAAGATTCAAACAAGTATCTCTCTACCCGCAACCTATTTAGTATTTAAAATAAATTGGATATTAGTGCAGGCATTTCTAGTAAGTGTGAGTTGTTTTATCACCATCTTTTGATTACTCGCAAATCCATTTAAAAAATTTGATAATTGAAATTTTTCTGTATGATACAGTTATATTCTTCAAACATTATCATTTGCAAATAAAATACCTCCAACATCCTTAGCAAGGCAAAATTCTTTGCGAATTTGATGATTCCACAGGAATAGTATGTGAATACAGAGAATGGTATTGTATTTCCTATTTGTATTCACCTGTTGTTCATATATTGGTGTGACTCACTGGAACTTAAACTGGTGTGTCATAGACAAATGCCCTTGCGTGAATTTATGAGGTCGCGAGTAAACATTTTTTTTATTCACTCCTGATAATGGTTGATCGCCCAAAGTAGCATACATTTTTCTGTATGATTTCCTACCGAGAAATTCATGTTCATATGCTGTTGTAACGAATCTCTCATAACAACCATCTATAGGTGCTTAGTGCTCTGTGACTAGCTTCCCATTTGATATCGTGCAATTGTACGTAAGGATGCAATGGTCTGTGGGAGGTTATGACAATTTAAATGTGTGGTCAGAGTATGTTTTAAATTTTTTTCGTGAAAATAGTGACCTTTCGCGACCGAATCATTGTGTACGTAAATGTATTTCGTATTATACATGTGTAGAGAAGATGTGAGCGATCATTGAGAGGTGATTTCTATAGTAATCTGTACTTGGTGGTTTGGCAGCACGTGAAACTTGAAGAGTGTCTAAAAAATATATCTGAATAAAATCCACGATTATTTTCTCTACACGCATTCATTGTTACAGTGTTATTAGTAACCAGTTCAATAACAGAACATTTCTGTATGGATATTTTGCATGTACTGGTTATAATTTGTGGTTTGTGGTAGATACACCTCCACACTCTGCACTAGGAGGGTGATTTTGATGGTTTCAGCATTCTATACTTGTGACTGATGCAAAGCCCATCTTGCACACGTCAACAATGATCTTGTTTCTATTGCCTGCAGATTCTCCTCCTCATCTAGTTCCAGAGGTGCCACAAGAGGGCGATGGCGAGCCACTGGTGAAAAAGCACAGGTCCCAGTCTCCGGCATCCCACCATTAATCCGCTAGCCCGCCTCCACCCTATCCAAGCAGATCGGTCATCGTAACTTCCACGGGCACGGGTGATCGTCCGTGATACTGCCATTGGTCAAGGCCTGTACGATGTAAATCACTCTACTGACAGTCACATAGTGTCAGTGTGTAGCAACAATTCTGCATAGGTAGTTCTTTAAAAAAAACCGCATCACAAGTGCGAAAATCGTCTCTATTACCGCGTTCACACGGTGATGATTTGGCTCGAGCTAAATGGGCTAAATTTGGCTCGGGCTGGTTTGAGTCAGAGCGTTCACACGTACGCAAGTGAATAGGCCTACTGTCTGTCAAATTCAAATAATTTTATTGCACAAATATCTTACAGATACTTTGGCAGTATGTCGCGAGATGGCGTTGTGTACGATTCAGTGTTTACTTCCGTTCCGAGTTCAATTATCAATCTTGAAAACATGCATCGTGATCAAATTTTTCGAATTTTTGAACTGTTTTGGACTTTATTTTGTCGAAGTACACGTTCGACACTCGCAGCATCTACCGCTCTACCGATTTAGCTGGTGCTAAAATTTGGCTCGGTCCTGGTCAGACGTTTTCGATGGGACCAAATTGGCTCGTGCTAACTCGGCACGGCCCCGAAAAACCGTCCGTGTGAACGCTCGGCTCGAGCCAAATTTGGCGCGGACCTAATTAGGATCCGGCTAAAAACGTCCGTGTGAACGCGCCTTATGTGCAGTCTTACTGTGGTTAACTGTTCGCTTACCAGAGCGAAATCGTTCGTCGCTCCCGTGTATTTGTTTCCCTTATGTGCAGTCTTACTGTGGTAAATTGTTGAAAACATAACAACCGTCAGTAACTTATTCATTCTGGGAGAGTGTATCTTGTCACTTTATTGTCATTTATGTTTGCTTATTGAATGTACTGTATGGGAACAGTAACTTGCTCTTAAACCATCTATTTACATGAAGTTTTCCGCTTTAAACATTACGTGCGTTTCACGTATCAACACAAGGGATAACCCATAAATTATGTCGTTTCTATTGTACTTTTCGTTTTATCGATTTGTGTGCATGTTATGATCTTGATGTTATGTACATAAGTAAGTAGACAAATAAGCCTTCCTCCTAATCTCTACAATCTCGGTTGTCTTCGGTCACGTATATATGTTACGTTGTATATGCACATTGTACTGCATTCCAATGTAGTAAATCTAAGCACGAACAAGTTATTGTATGCTTAACGTAAATAATTTGCAAATCGTGAATCAACTAACACGTTTTCTGTTTCCAATTATGTGTATTTCATTCACTTCACACCCAGGTTGGGAGTAACATTGCACTCTATGTCTCATAGTATGTTCACATAGACTTTACATGTTCTACGCAGACACACTACCAATCTTGTTGTCGTCACAACCGGGTTATAGAAATTTTCTTAATAATACATGAGCACACATGCACACAGTTATATGTACTGTTGGTTTAAAAATACTAAGTACCGTAAAATGGTTACTTTCTAAAAGAATACTTTCTGACACATATGTATATAATACATAGAAAACATGGTAAACAGGGTAAAGAATATATATATATATATATATAATAATCTAAAAAGCAATGTAAAGCAAGAAGACAACATGACAGTAAGCTGTAGGATATATAAAAAAGATATGCATGCATAGAAAATTTGGTATTGTTCACAATACTTGCGGAGCAAAAATGGCTAGTTTAGCATATTTCAAGCAGAAACCATAATACTGATCTAAAAAACAGTCACATGGTAAAGTGAATACACACAGCAAAAATGCAAGTTTAAGTCAATTGACCCATAACTGGTAATATACCAAGTACACAACTTGGTTCATCTACTTAATGTATGGACAAGTATACAGATATACCACTATTTGTAGTAAAAGCGTGGTAATATACAAATTATCATGACGTTCAAAATTGATCGGTGTTATTACGCTCCAATCTAAAAAATCACTGCTATATTTATGATGGCACTTGGAGAACCACATATACCAATATTATGCACGTTTAAGTTGCCGCAATTTACAAATGCGTATACAATTAACACAGTTTACAGTTATAACTGTAAAATGTTAAACAGCAATGCAATTCTGATGGAACATAACCACAACCACGTAGGCTCGACACGTCACTTAAAATTCAACTAGACACTAAAGCATCCATCTGTCTATCATTTTCCCTGTCTCCGTTGACTCACTCAAACCAGCCTCTCCTCCTTGCCTAGAACGATAGTCGACCGTCTTTTGTATGCATCCTCGTCAGAGACTGGCATGGCTATATTCACGGAAGCATTCTGTATTGGTGCAGGCAACATGTGACTGTGGGAGAGAAATACAGTTAGGTTTGTTACTACTGAGAATGGGAAAACTACTCTCTGGACCATACTGAGTAAATGTAATGATGGTACTGCCTGTTGAGTTACCGGGAGGTGATTTGTTTGCTTATTATATATAGCCTCCTGTTTTGACCCTTGGTCTCAGACAATATGCTTAGATTTGTTATTCAATAGTTCATCGACTTCCTACAGATTTTCCCAGACGATGCCACGCACTATGAAAGGCACACCTCCGATTTATTCACGCACGTCACAGGAAGTGAATGAAATGCTGAATGGGCCTTGCTGTGAGCACCGTACTAAGGAGGGATCGATGGCGTTGGTTGGTTCATACCTGGCATTTCTAGGAGGCGTGATCAGAGTAAGGTTGGCAGCTAGTTGATGAAGCCCTGCCATACCTTCCTCTATGTCAAGCACTGCTTCCCCATGGGCGAACCTTACAGTGGTAGAAGGAAGAGAGAGAAAAACCACGTAAAGCAAGTAAAAACACGCTTTTGGTTCTAGAATTTCAATCGGTCAATTCAGTCAGTGTTTCCTCAAGGCCACAATCTAATAATGCAAGCATTTAAATAATTTATCACCTGTACACCAAGTTTTCAAACGAATAACTCTGCGCGCGAATTCTTCCCTCGGCGTCGCGTGTGCAGATTTCGCTGTAAATTTAAGCATTAATTACCGGTTGCTGAGCCTCTTGCTGCTTCTGCGGCCGGGAGTGTGGATGTCTTGTTTACGACGCGGCGTGCGGCTCGTCTGACGACGCACTGGGGTGTTGCCATGACGACCAGCCGGTCTCGATCTTGCATCCGCCGCCAGAGTTGCATTCAACACGGGCGTCTTGGAGGGACTGCAACGTCGAAATCAAACATGGTAAATAATCAGAAGATGAAATACAATGAATAAATAAATAATCTGAATGAATAATCAGAACATGAAATGCAAACGCGGGCTATATGAGTAATTATATATTATATTATTATAGAAGGCAAATCTTTGTTAAAATCTACTGGCTTTGCACAACAGCGCATGTTGAACAAAGGTTAATTAGCATACAGGCGCATGTGTCTGCGCATATTCTTGTTTACTTTGTGACATTAACCAGTACTCATTTACGGTGTGTGTGCCGATAATTGCCCCCAATGTGAAATCATGTGCACAAGCACTCGCGGCTGAAGTTAAACCAAATTAACTGTAACACATACATGCATGCTCGTTTCATATTTCAAACGAGAAATTTCCATTCATTTGAAAGTGACCATGCAGCCCAGGTATGGCTTAAACTTTATCTGTACCCTAATCCCCAGTTAGCACAACACACACGATTGTGATAACCATTGTCCAAAACCAGTTTGAGTTAACCAGGATTTACAAGTTTCTGCATCTGACACATCAACGTGAATTGCACTAAGTATAGCTCAGGGAGAGTTTCACAAAATGAATTGAAAAAGCTTCACAATGACTGTCTGTGTTCGTCACTTATCCGTTAAATTTAAAAAATGTTACCTGGAGCCATATGATCGTAGTCTGACGAAGCATGTGAACAGGGTCTGTATAATATATCCAGTACCTTACTGACAATTAGAGACTCATGTGGCCTGACCAGGCTCTACGAGTGTTTCATACGTATTGAGAAGCGTAGCTCTAGTAGTATAGCTCATAGGGTCTATGTCCCCCAGGGTACTGCCGGAACGTACCCTGGGTACGGTCCGGTATACGGGAGCGTACCCTGGTCACTATTTGATATGGTTAGGGTTAGGATTAGGGTTAGGGTTCGGGTTCGGGTTAGGGAGTAGGCGAGGCAACTCCCTAGACTCGTTAGTGGAGTAGGCAAGGTACGGTCCGGCATATTAGATAGTACCAGGGTACGTTCCGGTATACCGGACCGTACCCAGGGTACGTTCCGGCAGTACCCCAGGGGACATAGACCCTCTCAGCAGTAGTATAGCCCTCGTTGCCACAGGCAACAGGGGATATAGTACTAGTAGAGCCATGAGAAGTTAGGAGGTAGCTTGTGGCTAGAGGCTCACCTATCTATAAAGAACGGTTCGTAGACACGTGTCGCCCTGTTCCCACCAGAGGCTCTCCTTTGGGGCGTGTGACCTGGCGATCCGCATGGAGACAGCAGAGGACTGTAGTTTTCTCCGAGTGGCAACAGCTTAGATCTACCCGAAGCGCAGTTCAGGAAACTCTGCGTCTGAACAAAATAGGACAGAAATACAGGTTACACAAATATTTATCAATATATAAAAATAACGGCGTTTTTACCTAGCATATTTCTTTTGTATTTTATAGTTTTATGATATGTGCTTTACTTTACTAAACGTATATACAAACACATGACACAACTTAGTAAAGATACTACATAAAACACTCGGAATGCGTCTACTTCATTACTAGCCATGCAACATAGAGAAAACGAATTGTTCAATTGATACGCACCCTGGTCAGTCCCTTTTTCACCGTTTTCAGCTTCTTTCTAGTGCTCTCTCTGAGTCTGTTCAAGCTGAGGTTTGGATTCACTCGTGACAACGGCATTCTCAGCGAGTTGGACGCTTGCCTGCACTCTCCCGTCGTAGTCTTGTGTTCTTCTTGGGATTTTAGACGCATACTGCAACGTCTCGTTCTCCATCTATCGTCCCAAAAGTAAGAATCCATCGACTTCTTAGAGCGTCTTCTTAGAGCGTCTTCTTCTTTTTCTCGGTTTTATCGTCGGATTTTAAAATGCCGCTGTTGACATATAGTGGGTCACTATCGTGGCAGTTTTTGCTATATGTGTGAGCGTATATGATACGAAAGGAAATCAATAGAGACGTGTGTGCACATCTATAAAACTCTCAGCGGCAGACTCACAATCCAAACAACAGCGCTGCGATCGCATCGCCTCACAATCAGTACCGTGATGTTGGCGAAAATGGCGACCCCAAATCAACATTGGGAAGGTATGACACGACGCATTTCTATCTATCAACTTGTTCTAAAGCTCTGATAGATGCATTTTTATGCTTTTTACGATTACAAGCAGTAAGCTAACGCCGAATATTTAAGGTTTTCGTGAAATAATATTTAACCCTTTCCGTTTGCACTGAACCAACCGTTTACGTCACACGGGACCACGTACTACGGAGTTTCACAACACTGACTCAGTCATTCAGTCATTATTCAGTTATTAACAGCACAGCAAACAAATTACTATATCTCCACATCTACTTACCTTAGGAACATATATAGCGGCACAGGGTCACATCACTCTCGTTAATTAATTCATAAAAAAAAGGTTAGCATCCATAAATTCCATACGTGCCCAGAACTCGCATTCACAGAAGTCAGAATAACACGTTACACTGTGACTGTCTACAGAACGAAAGATTGGCTTGATGAGTTCATTCCAAATTTCTTACTGATATTGCATAGCATACTGGAGCAAAGCAGTTTTTCTGGATCTGTGCCAGCTGACGAGGCTGTACTAGAATGTACAGAGCGGGATAACTATGTAGTAAAGCTGGCACAAATTCATGATTGTCATTACACCACTGCATAAATGTGACAACTGGACTTCCTGGTCACGACTAGACAGTACTGTTCACGGTAGTCTATTAGCAATTAAATTTACTATGAAAACTATTCAGCTGAGTTACCCTGAACTGTGAAGTTGCCTTCAACTTCTTCGTTTAATTCGTCCTATAATCAGTATTCACAGTGTGATGATACAGTTCATCCATCTTCTGGTCATTGTGATAGCTTTACACAATCTTTGGCTGCATCTTCCTATATCAAAGTATCTGTACGCCATTGTAGCATGATGTCTACAGTGAAAGATTGACTAACTTAAGCTATGTTTAGCGAAGAATGATCATACGTTGGGAAAGTTTCCGTATGATAAGCGAGTATGATCAGTTCTATGTGGTGATAACACAACATCAGGTTAATAGTTAACGTGCATAGTTAATCAATTATTTTTCTGCCATGCACGTCTGATATCTTTTGTGTGTAACATATGCTTTCAGACTTACGGAGACAAGCCAGACAGCTAGAAAATGAAATTGACATCAAACTTGTATCCTTTAGCAAACTGGGAACCAGCTATAGTAGTCAACGTGACACGAAATCTGAAAGGTACATATACTATCTAGTTGTATTTGCATTAACTAACAATCCAAACCAGTGCATGTTACTGGCTCTGGTCTTCTTTATTTACTAAATCAAATTGTGTTCTCTGCAGTGTAAACCTTCAACAAGATGTTTGTGTGGTATAGAATTATCACTGCATGGAGGTCTGATATTATAGAAGTCATTTGTACTGAGTTTTATGCAGAGACGAAGACCTGAGAAATGTGCGAGGTTATGGGTAAGTAACTAGTAAGAAATATATGTAGATATTTTACGATCACCTCCTAAATTTGTCGTTACAGTTCTGATGCGGTGCCACTCCTGGCCAGTACCAACAGTGAGCACATGTTCCAGACGATGTCTCTAGAAATTGAGCAGCTACTAGCAAAGGTATTATATAACTTATAAGCATATTAATAATATTATTATTCTATTGTTTGAAATTAACTCATGCAGTGACAATATAATAGCATATGGAATATATGGTTTTCTGATTGCGTACGTATATTTATACAAGCTTCTATATGTTCTAATAAACAAAAAATGCAATAGAAAAAATGCAGTTGGCAAATGGACAAAAAATAAATGCAAATCTGTATCATGCTTCAATTTTCCATGTCATTCTTGCTATAATCTACTCTGTCTGTTCGTGCATGTCCATGCGTGTAGCCTGGACTAAAACACGCACAACCTGTACAAATAAACCGAAGCAATTCTGTACCACGCTACGATGTTTTCCCTGTCGCGCGCTCTCGCAGTTGACGGAGCTGAATGACAAGATGGCCGACTGCATGCAGGGATCGGCTCCGGGCAGCAACCCGGCGCTGCTGCACACGATGCAGCGGCATCGCGACATACTGCAGGACTACAGCCACGAGTTCAGCAAGACGGAGGCGAACATCGCCGCACACGTCGAGCGCGAGGACCTGCTGGGGTCGGTGCGGCGAGACATCGAGTCGTACAAGAACGCGAGCGGTCTCAACCGTCGCACCGAGCTCTACCTGAAGGAACACGAACACGTGCGCAAGTGAGTGAGATATGGGGGCACTGGTAGCGGTGTAAGGCTAGTGTGTTGGAGAGCAAGTGAGTGAGATGGGTGCGCTGGTAGCGGTGTAAGGCAAGTGTGTTGGAGAGCAAGTGAGTGAGATAGGGGGCGCTGTTAGCGGTGTAAGGCAAGTGTGTTGGAGAGCAAGTGAGTGAGATGGGGCGCTGTTAGCGGTGTAAGGCAAGTGAGTGAGATAGGGGGGCGCTGTTAGCGGTGTAAGGCAAGTGTGTTGGAGAGCAAGTGAGTGAGATAGGGGGCGCTGGTAGCGGTGTAAGGCTAGTGTGTTGGAGAGCAAGTGAGTGAGTGGGGGCGCTGTAGCGGTGTAAAGCAAGGTGTGTTGGAGAGCAAGTGAGTGAGATAGGGTGCGCTGGTAGCGGTGTAAGGCAAGTGTGTTGGAGAGCAAGTGAGTGAGATAGGGGGCGCGGTTGACGGTAAAATGCGTGCGTGCGAAAGTGAGTCAGGCTCCATTGATGGTAAAAACGAGAGCACGTGCGAAATTGAGTGTTGCTAGATGGCGTTGTTGGTGGTATAACGCGCGCACAAAATGGTGTAAGGCAGAGGGCGCTGTTGGTGTGAAACGCGAGTATGTTAGAGAGTGAGTCATGCAGAGGACGATGTTGATGGTAAAATGCGAGCATGTGGAATGTGAGTGCTCTAGAGGGTGTTGTGACGGTGAAATACAAGCACGGGCGAAAGTGAGATATGCAGAGGGCGGTGTTGTGATGTGAAGTAATGCCATACATAAGTAAATGAAGCAGGGTGGCTGGTTTGAGAGCAAACGTGCTCTGGAGCACCGGAAAAAGACGTGTTGTAAATTTGTAATTACTAATCTTTGCTTTAGAGTAAGGAGTAAAATCTAAAAATATGAAAGGCTAAACTGTTTTTTTTTCCTGAAATTTATGTTCTGACATGGCATCCTTGCCATGTGTAACGTTCTTGTTGCTATGAACATACTGGAGTGTGTCAGCTGGGCTAATGAGTGTGTGTATTCTAACAAATGTGTTCCCTATTGCAGCTCAGACAGGTTGGTTGATGAACAAATAAGGTGACTAAATTTGTGCATTTATTTCTGTTATCGTCAATATTAAAATCGATGCTTTTAAAATTACTTAAAATTTACTTTTTTTAAAGTAATCTTCCTGCTTGTTGCATTGCAATGTACAAATTTTTGTACAAAATGTTTTTTGTTAACAAAAATTTAAAAAATTGACAATTTTGTGTGTCAAAATTGTGTACAATTTGTAACAAATAAGTTTTACCTATCATTGTTATGATTGTTCCAGCATTGCGATAGCAACCAGAGAAACACTGGACAAGCAGAAAGAAACGTTCCACACAAGTCACCAGCACACTGATGCGCTTGCAGTATCCTTTGGTTTTACCAGATGATTTCAGTTAAATCTGGGTAGGGGTGTATGTTGTGTTGTAGCTGTAACATTTCTAGAGCTTGCTATTACTTAGTTTCTTAGAGCTTGGTTTCTTAACATTCAATTTGCTCTCTTGTATCTTTTATATTATTATATTTTTATTTATTTATTTATTTATTTTTTATATCTTTTATTTGTTCGACGTGTTGCTGGCATCATTCTAAAACAGTATACATTGACACGAATGTGTGAATTAAAGGTTTAACTACGAGCGAGGTACGTTCGCTTACCTCTAGGTTAGTGCGTCGCGTGTAGGATGATATGATCTACGTACGTATACGCACGTTGTATTCTTGACGAACCTTCATAGATCGTTATCCGGTGTGAATAGTGTGATACAGAGATCAACCTGCGTAAACGGACGAGACTCCATCATCCTCGCGACTAGTGATATCGGTCTGCCTCATACTGCTGCTGCTCTATGCCTTCCACTGAGCTCGCTAGATGGCGCTGATCGCATGAGCTACTACAAACATTTAACGCACGTTTTAGTGTGTGTGTGTGTGGTGGAGGTAGTCGCCCCTCTTCGACTGTGCCAGATGATGACACTGATGCCTTCTGGGGTGTGTTACGAATGTCGTCGCAGAAGCACGTTCTGTTACCGGTCGTCGTTAGCGATGCAGGTGGCGCCAGCAGCGCACGGTGGAGCGATGCTACCACAACTTTGCGTGAACAGACCTGGCACCTAGCATGCGGCCCATGGGGATTGTGGGCTGGTTCCCACTTGGCGGAGGGTTTCTCCGTAGCGCAGTTCACAAAGGTTTCCGTGTAGTTTTGAAGACGCGTGCGCGGTAAACGTGTGTCCGTGCGCGCATGCGTGCACGTGAAAATACCAGCCAGGATTCAGATTACCGAGTCTACATTGCCTTTGTGCTGGGAACTTTAGACTGTTTCCTTGCGTCATGCTGTTGTGAGTGTCAGATCGCACAAGTTCAGAAAAAATGGAAGATGAATGCGAGACATATTGTGTAAAAAAAATTATAATAGAAATTTTAGATAGATTACTGACACTTTTATTTGCTATTTGTAAATAATAAAGCCCTAAATGTTGAAAATATATCATGCTTAATCTGTGAAAACAACTTGTTGTGGTTTAATTTTGACCGCTTTTCGCAATTTATATATCGCAACAACGAGTTTTTATTCACCTATGAACTAAATAACGTTCCTAATGAGTGCACACTTCACGCGAACTTCCCGCCGTCTCCTACATGTCGCTACCCTCTCGTGCTGCCTACGCAAAGGCACCAACACTACTCGTGTGACCCCCTCCCCCGTCCGGCGAATCTCAGTTCCGCCTTTGCCGCTCTCTTTCTTCTTGCCGGCGTCCTTGGAAGGCGACGACCTGCCGGCGTGCTGCGCGACCTCCGGCGGCTAGGTCGCCCGCCTCGCGCCGCGCGAGACTGCGCAGGTCTTATGTTTGAGTCGGCCGCGGGTCAGAGGTCCGCGTGTAGTCGGCACGGGTCTTCTCCCGCTGCTGTAGTCCGCTGTCGTCCCTGCGAGCAAACGGGAAGTAAGGTTAAAAGCACGGCAGACGCCGAGACGAGCGGCTGCATACGCCCAATACCGACCGGAACGATCCTGCATCGCTGTCCGAAAAAAATGTCTAAATCGTCGTAGAACGTCACGCGAGTAAAAACCCAAGGAATTGTGGTCGCATTGATATTGTTACAGAGCCGTATAAAGAAGGAGAGCGGTACAAAGGGCGAAAATGCTGAAACCATGTGCAGTTGATAAGTCGATTAATAAACTTCCCCGTTTTTATTTTGACCGATTCTTTGTGGTGTTATTGATCAGCTGTCACTTAAACCTTGCTAATATAAAATCAACCCGCTTGTCCCTGCGAGTGAGGGCCTCTCGCTGAGATAATGATCGTGAACCATCTTGTTTTTTTCGGCCGAACACCGACGTCGAGACTCAGTTTTACTTGCGACTGCTCTCTCGTTTGTGTGGACGGTATGTTGCTTGCGGGTCGCCGCTGTGTAAGCGCGTGACTCGATAACGTTATTACTACGCGTTTACTACATCCCGCGTAAGCGGGCGGGTCGCCATTGGCGTAATAACAGGACCGTTTTTGTTGAGTAATGGCTTGCGTCAATGACCTGGAAATGCGAGGAAAATGATAGTAGAGGGAATAAAATTTTCATTGTCCGGAATGAATGACGACGTGCCCTGCACGCGATAGTCTTGTTGTTTCCTTAAGCTATTCGCCAGCAACGAGCAAACAGTCGGCAAGCCATTTAGTATATGCTCGAGTCGGTTATTGGCGTGAAATATACCAGATTTTCCTGGCTCATTATTCTCACGCTAGTAGACGGCAGTCGTAGGGCAGCGGTTTGTTTTATTCATTAGGCAATGGGTAGGACAGCTAATCAACTAGATAGCACACAGAAGATCGTCATAGAGTAAAACGGGTCGGTAGAGAGTTTATTACATTCGTACTAATACTGCAGCGATGTTTCAGCATTTCACCGTTGTAAAACGCTCTTCGATATTTCTATTTTGTATTGGTCCGGTTGTTATTTGTGTCCTACCACTGGCACATCTCGTAAGAATGCGGCCGATGGTGTGTACGGGATGTGGAATATGCTTGCCTATCTTGAGCTGGTTCATACTGTCAGGTAACAGATGTCAGTTGGCATCTCATTAATTATGCATGCTGCATATATTTGGAGTAATTATGCACATTGGGACCTTCGTTTATGACTGATTAAGAAGCGAACAGCCAACGATTACAAGATAAGATTGTCAGTATGAAGGCGCCATGGCTTTAGTTGGCAAAGCGCCTTGTCTAGTAAACAGGAGATCCCCGTTCGAATCCGGGTGTGCCTTATTATGCTTATTCAGATATTTCAAAATAGTATAAGACTTTAAGTTAACTTGAAAACATTGAATAGTGTCGGCGCCATGGCTTAGTTGGCAAGCGCCTGTCTAGTAAACAGGAGATCCCGCGTTCGAACTCCGGTGGTGCCTTATTATGCTTATTGATATTTCAAAATAGTATTAACTTTAATTTAACTTGAAAGCTATTGTGATGTACGGCGCGCATGGCTTTAGTTGGCAAAGCGCCTGTCTAGCTAACAGGAGATCCCGTTCGAATCCGGTGGTGCCTGTTATTATGCTTATTGTATTTTCAAAATTGTATAAACTTTAAGTCAACTTGAAAACCATTGGAATATGTCGGCGCGCAATGGCTTAGTTGGCAAAGCGCCTGTCTAGTAAACAGGAGATCCCGGTTCGAATGCGCGGTGGTGCCTTATTATACTTATTGATATTTCAAATAGTATTACTTTAAATGATTATGTCACCGTAAATGAGTAAAAATGATAAAAAATATTTCTTACTTTTTCAACAAATATATAGTAATTCTGTTTACATTTTATGGTTAAATTGCTGCATTATACTTCCTATTTTACTATATTGTTGCGATGTGAGCATACACTCGTGACCCATAAGCATAGCCCATAGCAAGTCATTAGTTACAGACAACTATTAATTCAAATCGTCCAGGTTTTTTGGATTTTTAACTAGTTTGAGAACAATCTTATCAGGTAAGAATTTGACGATTGTGTTTAGTCCCGTTAGTTCTTACTTTAATGTTAAAAAATGGGAATTTTTTTTTACACATTTTACCATAGAAAATTCGTGACGTAATCTCTTTAATTTAACTTGAAAGCTATGTGATGTATCGGCGCCATGGCTTAGTTGCAAAGCGCCTGTCTAGTAAACAGGAGATCCCCGGTTCAATCCGGGGTGGTGCCTTATTATGCTTATTGATATTTCAAATTGTATAAACTTTAAGTTAAACTTGAAAACCATTGGAATATGTCGGCGCCATGGCCTTAGTTGGCAAAGCGCCTGTCTAGTAAAAGGAGATCCCCGGTTCGAATCCGGGTGGTGCCTTTATTATACTTATTGATATTTCAAAACAGTATTAACTTTATTTAACTTGAAGCTATTGTGATGTATCGGCGCGATGGCTTAGTTTGTTTAAATGCGCCTGTCTAGTAAACAGGAGATCCCCGGTTCGAATCCCGAATGGGCCTTCCAAGATTATGCTTTATTGAGTCTCAAATCTAAAAATCCCGGATTTATCTAGTAACCATTGCCGGAAATGCCTTCAAAGTATCTCCCATCCACTCAGCCTCATAATTTATACTGGAAGCAGGTTTGATTTACAATAAACAGAAGACACATTTGAAAAACAATGACGCGTAAATATTCAGTCACCACAGCCCGCTTAACTTTCAGCTAGTTTACATGCTAAGGACGGACTTACCCGTGGTAGGTGGAAGCACTACCATATTTCCCTTCGTTACTGTCGGTGCAGGGAGCAGCGGTGAAGGGACTGAGGCATCTTCATCCTCCTCGGATTTCTGAAACGGGAAACGCAGATGCATCGTAACAACTATCGCTTCCCTCCTCTGATCGACACAAACAAAATACGCGCGCGACAGCTCATTGCTCCCTCTACTACTCCCGCTCTGAAGACGGAAGTAAACGCATCGTAAACAAAATCGCTTCCCTCTCCGATGAGCAAACAAACATGCACGCTTCATTTCCCATCGCCTAACAGGCTGCCGCTCTGCGGCACCAAGCATGCGGCTTCCTCTCACAACCTCTCCCAGCCAAAACACAGCTGCTATTCCACAACTCTTCTTGTGTTGTAACACCTCTCGTGTTCCAACCCACCTCCCCTCTTCCCCCCTTTCGTCCACCCCCTCCGCATCTCCTTCCCCCGTTCGTCCGCATCCCCCTCCGCACTCCTCCTTCACTGTTCGCCCACGCCCCTCCCCCTCTTCCTTCCCATGTCTCGTCCCACCGCCCTCCCACTCCTCCTTCACTGTTCGTCCCACCACCCTCCCCCCTCCTCGCCTGTTCGTCCCAACCCCCTCCCCACTCCTCCTTCACTGTTTCGTCCACCCCCCCTCCTCTGCCCTCCTTCCCTGTTTCATCCCAGCCCCTCACCCTCGCTTTCCCTGTTCGTCCCACGCCCCTCCCCCTCTCTGTGTCCGGCACCTTTGTGCTGCAGGTAGTGGCAGTATTCACACGCGCCACTCATCCCACCGCCACACGTGCCCTGCATCTCTTCCCCCTTCTACCCTGCCTCCTTCCCTGTTCATCCACACCCTCCCCTCCTTCCTGTTCATCCCACCCCTCCCCCTCCTCCATTCCCGGTTCGTCCGCACCGCCTCCCCCTTGCTCCTTCCTTGTTCATCCGCGACCCTTCCCCCTGTTCATCCCCGCCCTCCCGGCCCCTATTCGCACCCTACCCCTCCCCTCCTGCCTTCCCTGTGTCGTCCCACCCCCCCCCCTCCTCTCCCTGTTCCCTGCCCACCCCCTCCCCCTCCTGCGTCCGGCACCTTGTGCTGCAGGTAGTGCAGTATGCGCAGCAGGTCGCTCGTGCGCTGCTCGACGATGCCGAGATGCAGCATGATGTTGTTGTTGGTGATGCCGCGGTTTCCGCCGAGCAGCTCAGCGACGCCGGACGCGTCGCAGCCGATCTTGTCGAAGAGCACGCCGACGCCTGCCTTCAGCTGGTCGAGAGCCTTGTTGCACAGTCGCAGCTTCTCCTCCGACGCGTCGGCGTCGCTCGTCGCCTGACGCAGCTGCTCCTGCGGGAGGAAGCGAAGCGGGAAGCCATGAGGAGGCGGAAGGTACGAGCGCGTGTCACCCCCTCCCCCGCCAGCGAGACGCTCTCTTGCGAAGCGTGAAGCCATGAGGGGGATGAAGAAGCGCAAAGCCACGAGGGGGAGGAGGAAGTGAAGTGAGAAGCCATGAGGGGGAGGAAGGTACGAGCGCGTGTCACCCCCTCCCCCGCCAGCGAGTCGCTCTCTTGTGAAGCGGGAAGCCATGAGGGGGAGGAGGAAGTGAAGTGAGAAGCCATGAGGGGGAGGAGGAAGTGAAGTGAGAAGCCATGAGGGAGAGGAGGAAGTGAAGTGAGAAGCCATGAGGAGGGAGAGGAAGTGAAGTGAGAAGCCATGAGGGGGAGGAAGAAGTGAAGCGCAAAGCCATTAGGGGGAGGAGGAAGTGAAGCGCAAAGCCATTAGGGGGAGGAGGAAGTGAAGTGAGAAGCCATGAGGGGGAGGAAGGTACGGGCGCGCGTAACCCCTCCCCCGCCCGTGAATTGCTGTTACTCGGCTGTGTGGATATTCACGCCACCACGTGGATCCGAGAGACGGATGTGTATTATGCATGATGATTATTGCAAGACTAAATAGACATGTATTACTAGACATCGTCGCTACAGTCTCACACCCACGTCCTATCTAAATACTATTTTACTTAGTATCCCCTAGTCGACGTTTAGTCCCTAGTATGCCACCTTATATTTCATCAACTCTAACTCTTTACCTGGTATATCAAGGCGTTTTCACACAGTACTGTCAAAAATACATTAATGAACGGATTTCATTATGAAGGTATGTGTCATACCTCAAGTTCATGTAACTCCTTCTGTCTGCCCATCTGTCGGCTTGCTTCTGCAGCATGGAACTGATCCATCTCTCCCTCAACATCTGTAAACACAGCGCCATGCAATCGTCAACATTCTATGTTATATTTATAATGTCGGACAACAATAGCAGCTCGATTCTAGAAGCTGTTGAAACGTGTATGCTTACAGATTTAGGAACACTCTGTTGACCTACACACCACATGCCTCTCATAGGCCTAACCCTTTCCTGCATCAAAATATGTCATTCACCTTCTGCCCTGCTGCTACCATGCACTGGTATCCACAGTTGAAACATGGGACTGACTCGCTCTGCCTCACAGACCCGGGAACGATGTTGATGGTAAAATGCGAGCATGTTGGAATGTGAGTGCTCTAGAGGGTGTTGTTGACGGTGAAATACAAGCACGTGCGAAAGTGAGAGATGCAGAGGGCGGTGTTGTGATGTGAAGTAACGCATACATAAGTAAATGAAGCAGGGTGGATGATTTGAGAGCAAACGTGCTCGGGAGCACCGGAAAATGACGTGTTGTAAATTTATAATTACCAATCTTTGCTTTAGAGTAAAGTAATATATAAAAATCTGAAAGGCTTCTAAACTATTTTTTTCCTGAAATTTATGTCCTGACATGGCATCACTTGCCATGGGTAACGTTTCTTGTTGATATGAACATACTGGAGTGTGTCAGCTGGGCTAATGAGTGTGTGTATTCTAACAAATGTGTTACCTATTGCAGCTCAGACAGGTTGGTTGATGAACAAATAAGGTGACTAAATTTGTGCATTTATTTCTGTTATCGTCAATATTAAAATCGATGCTTTTAAAATTACTTAAAATTTACTTTTTTTAAAGTAATCTTCCTGCTTGTTGCATTGCAATGTACAAATTTTTGTACAAAATGTTTTTTTGTTAACAAAAATTTAAAAAATTGACAATTTTTGTGTGCAAAATTGTGTACAAATTTGTAACAAATAAGTTTTACCTATCATTGTTATGATTGTTCACAGCATTGCGATAGCAACCAGAGAAACACTGGACAAGCAGAAAAGGACGTTCCACAAAGTCACCAGCACACTGAATGCGCTTGCCAGTATCCTTTGGTTTACCTCAGATGATTTCAGTTAAATCTGGGTAGGGGTGTATGTTGTGTTGTAGCTGTACACTTTCTAGAGCTTGCTATTACTTAGTTTCTTAGAGCTTGGTTTCTTAACATTCAATTTGCTCTCTTGTTATCTTTTATTTATTATTATTTTTATTTATTTATTTTTTATATCTTTTATTTGTTCCGCCTGTTGCTGGCATCATTCTAAAACAGTATACATTGACATGAATGTGTGAATTAAAGGTTTAACTACGAGCGAGGTACGTCTCGCTTACCTCTAGGTTAGTGCGTCGCGTGTAGGATGTATAGATCTACGTACGTATACGCACGTTGTATTCTTGACGAACCTTCATAGATCGTTATCCGGGTGTGAATAGTGTGATACAGAAGATCAACCTGCGTAAACGACGAGACTCCATCATCCTCGGACTAGTGATATCGGTCTGCCTCATACTGCTGCTGCTCTATGCCTTCCACTGAGCTCGCTAGATGGCGCTGATCGCATGAGCTACTACAAACATTTAACGCACGTTTTAGTGTGTGTGTGTGTGGTGGAGGTAGTCGCCCCTCTTCGACTGTGTCAGATGATGACACTGATGCCTTCTGGGGTGTGTTACGAATGTCGTCGAGGAAGCTCGTTCTGTTACCGGTCGTCGTTAGCGATGCAGGTGGCGCCAGCAGCAGCACGGTGGAGCGATGCTACCACAACTTTGCGTGAACAGACCTGGGCAACCTAGCATGCGGCCCATGGGGATTGTGGGCTGGTTCCCACTTGGCGGGAGGGTTTATCCGTAGCGCAGTTCACAAAGGTTTCCGTGTAGTTTTGAGACGCGTGCGCGTAAACGTGTGTCCGTGCGCGCATGCGTGCACCGTGAAAATACCAGCCAGGATTCAGATAACGAGTCTACATTGCCTTTGTGCTGGGAACTTTAGACTGTTTCCTTGCGTCATGCTGTTGTGAGTGTCAGATCGCACAAGTTCAGAAAAAATGGAAGATGAAATGCGAGACATATTGTGTAAAAAAAATTATAATAGAAGTTTTAGATAGATTACTGACACTTTTATTTTGCTAATTTGTAAATAATAAAGCCCTAAATGTTGAAAATATATCATGCTTAATCTGTGAAACAACTTGTTGTGGTTTAATTTTGACCGCTTTTCGCACATTTATATATCGCAACAACGAGTTTTTATCACCTATGAATAAATAACGTTCCTAATAGTGCACACTTCACGCGACTTCACTCCCGCCTCTCCTACATGTCCTACCCTCTCCGTGCTCCTACCAAAGCACACACTACTCGTGTGACCCCCCTTCCCCCACCTCCGGCGAATCTCAGTTCCCCTTTGCCGCCTTCTTTCTCTTGCCGGCGTCCTTGGAAGGTGACGCCTGCTCGGCGTGCTGCGGACTCCGGCGGCTAGTCCCCGCCTCGCGCCGCGCTAGACTGCGCAGGATCTTATGTTTGAGCTCGCCGGGGGTCAGAGGTCGCGTGTAGTCGGCCGGGTCTTCCCCGCTGCTGTAGTCGCTGTCGTCCCTGCGAGCAAACGGAAGTAAGTAAACACGGCAGACGCCACGAGCGCTGATCCACCACTACCCGACCGAAGATCCTGCATCGCTGCCGAAAAAAGTTCTAAATCGTCGATAGAATCGTCACGCGAGTAAAACCCAAGGAATGCGGTCGCATTGATATTTTTAAGAGCGTATAAAGAAGGAGAGCGTACAACGGTGAAATGCTGAAACCATGTTGCAGTATTAGTCGAATTAATAAACTTTCCCCGTTTTATTTTGACGATTCTTTGTGGTATTATTGATCAGCTGTCCTACCTTGCTAATATAAAACAAACCGCTTGTCCCTGCGATGCCTCTACGCTGAGATAATGAGCGGTGAAAATCTGTTATTTTCGCCGAAAACCGACTCGAGATCAGTTTTACTGCGACTGTCTCTCGTTTTGTGGACTGTATGTTGCTTCCGGTCGCCGCTGTGTAGCGCTGACTCGATACGTTATTACTACAGCGTTACTACATCCAGCGTAAGGGGCGGGTCATCACCATGGCGATAAATAACAAGACGTTTTTGTTGAGTAATGGCTGCGTCAATGACTGGAAATGCGAGAAAAGATAGTAGAAGGAAAATAAATTTCATTGTCAATGAATGATGGAAACACGCGAGGTTTTCCAAAGCTATCGCCAGAACGAGAGACAATCGCAGCCACTACGTATCTCGAGTCGGTTTTTGGCGAAAATATCAGATTTTCACCGCTCATTATCTCAGCGTAGAGGCATCGTAGGGACAAGCGGTTTGTTTTATATTAGCAAGGTAGGACAGCTAATCAATAATACCACAAAGAATCGTCAAAATAAAACGGGCAAAGTTTATTAATTCGACATACTGCAGCATGGTTTCAGCATTTCACCGTTGTACGCTCTTGATATTTTCTATTTCGTATTGGTCGGTTGTTATTTGTGTCTAACCACGGCACATCTCGCTAAGAAGTGCCCAAATGTGTGTACGGGATGTGGAATATGCGAGCTGGTTCATACTGTCAGGTAACAGATGTCAGTTGGCATCTCATTAATTATGCATGCTGCATAATTTGGAGTAATTATGCACATTGGGTACCTTCGTTATGACTGATTAAGAAGCGAACAGCCAACGATTACCAAGATAAGATTGTCAGTATGAAGGCGCCATGGCTTAGTTGGCAAAGCGCCTGTCTAGTAAACAGGAGATCCCCGGTTCGAATCCGGGTGGTGCCTTATTATGCTTATTGATATTTCAAAATAGTATTAACTTTAATTTAACTTGAAAGCTATTGTGATGTATCGGCGCCATGGCTTAGTTGGCAAAGCGCCTTGTCTAGTAAAACAGGAGATCCCCGGTTCGAATCCGGGTGAGTGCCTTATTATGCTTATGGATATTTCAAAATTGTATAAAACTTTAAGTTACTATTTGAAAACCATTGGAATATGTCGCGCGCATGGCTTAGTTGGCAAAGCGCCTGTCTAGTAAACAGGAGATCCCCGGTCGAATCCGGGTGGTGCTATTCATGCTTATTGATATTTCAAAAATAGTATTAACTTTAATTTAACTTGAAAGCTATTGTGATGTATCGGCGCATGGCTTAGTTGGCAAAGCGCCTGTCTAGTAAACAGGGATCCCCGGTTCGAATCCGGGTGGTGCCTTATTATGCTTATTGATATTTCAAAATAGTATAAACTTTAAGTTAACTTGAAAACCATGGAATATGTCGCGCCATGGCTTAGTTGGCAAAGCGCCTGTCTAGTAAACAGGAGATCCCCGGTTCGAATCCGGGTGGTGCCTTATTATGCTTATTGATATTTCAAAATTGTATAAACTTTAAGTTAACTTGAAAACCATTGGAATATGTCGGCGCCATGGCTTAGTTTGGCAAAGCGCCTGTCTAGTAAACAGGAGATCCCCGGTCGAATCCGGGTGGTGCCTTATTATGCCCTTATTGATATTTCAAAATAGTATAAACTTTAAGTTAACTTGAAAACCATTGGAATATGTCGGCGCCATGGCTTAGTTGGCAAAGCGCCTGTCTAGTAAACAGGAGATCCCCGGTTCGAATCCGGGTGGTGCCTTATTATGCTTATTGATATTTCAAAATGTATAAACTTTAAAAGGCATAATAGGCCCATTTGATTATCAAAGTTGACGAACTGCTACAGTAACTGGCACCTTCTGTAGTTAATAATACATATCCTTATAGGCCAAACGCGTATTAGTTTGTCCAATATCACTGCTATAATACTAAGAAAGTCTAATTGAAATCCGTAAATCTGGTAATCTGGCGCCAAACGCTAAATTGGTTGCCAAGCAAAATAGCCTCTAATTCGGTTAGGTGACATTCACATGTTGCTACCGGGTGTTTAGCAGAGAATTGTTTGTCCCGGATGCTTTATATACGACTAATGAGCTAGTAGAATGTATCTCTCTAGCTGGATGGATTCCACGTTCATTACAATCAGAGCTAACTGTTATGTATACAGTTACGGTACTGTACTATCGCTAGCATTGCGTATCGACCGAGCGAAAATGCATGCGTGCGTGCGTTTTTGCATGCCGTGCGAAAAATGTCCGGTGCACTATAAATCTGTATCACACCGCGTTTTCGGCAGTATGCGGTTTCGAAAACTGTAAACAAGCCATCAACTGATTTCTTGACTGCGATTCAATTAGACATTTCTTAGTAACCAGCAGTGATATTGAACAAACTAATAACACGTTTGGCTATAAGGTAATGTATTATAACTACAACAAGTGTGCCAGTTACTCTTAGCATTCATGTAAAAATTGCATAATCGATGGCCTATTATGCCTTTAAGTTAACTTGAAAACCATTCGAATATGTCGGCGCCATGGCTTAGTTGGCAAAGCGCCTGTCTAGTAAACAGGAGATCCCCGGTTCAGAATCCGGGTGTGCCTATATATGCTTATTGATATTTCAAAATTGTATAAACTTTAAGTTAACTTGAAAACCATTGGAATATGTCGGCGCCATGGCTTAGTTGGCAAAGCGCCTGTCTAGTAAACAGGAGATCCCCGGTTCGAATCCGGGTGGTGCCTTATTATGCTTATTGATATTTCAAAACAGTATTAACTTTAATTTAACTTGAAAGCTATTGTGATGTATCGGCGCGATGGCTTAGTTGGTTAAAGCGTCTGTCTAGTAAACAGGAGATCCCCGGTTCGAATCCGGATGGGGCCTTCAATATTATGCTTATTGATGTCTCAAATCTAAAAATCCCGGGATTTATCTAGTAAACCATTGCCGGAAATGCCTTCAAAGTATCTCCCATCCACTCAGCCTCATAATTTATACTGGAAGCAGGTTTGATTTACAATAAACAGAAGACACATTTGAAAAACAATGAGCGTAAATAATTCAGTCACCACAGCGCTTAACTTTCAGCTAGTTTACATGCTAAGGACGGACTTACCCCGTGGTAGGTGGAAGCACTACCATATTTCCCTTCGTTACTCTGTCGGTCAGGGAGCAGCGGTGAAGGGACTGATGCATCTTCATCATCCTCGCTTTCTGAAACGGAAACGCAGATGCATCATAACAACTATCGCTTCCCTCCTCTGATCGACACAAACAAAATGCGCGCACGCTTCATTCTCCCTCTACTACCTCCCGCTCTGAAACGGGAAAGTAAACGCATCGTAACAAATATCGCTTCCCTCTCCGATTGACAAACGAAACATGCACGCTTCATTCCCCATCGCCTACAGGCTGCCCTCTGCGCACAAGCATGCGGCTTCCTCTCACCACCTCTCCCGTCCAAAACACACTGTATTTCCACAACTCTGTCTTGTGTTGTAACACCTCTGTGTTTCCACCCCCTCCCCTCTTCACCCTGTTCGTCGCCCCCTCCCATCCTCCTTCCCCGTTCGTTGTCCCACCCCCTCCCACTCCTCCTTCACTGTTCGTCCCACCCCCTCCCCCTCCTCCTTCCCTGTTCGTCCCACTCACCCTCCCACTCCCTCCTTCACTGTTCGTCCCCACCCCCTCCCCTCCTCCTTCCCTGTTCGTCCCACCCCTCTCCACTCCTCCTTCACTGTTCGTCCACCCCCTCCTCTCACTCCTTCCCTGTTCGTCCACCCCCTCCCACTCTCCTTCCCCTGTTCGTCCACCCCCTCCCACTCCTCCTTCCCTGTTCATCCCACCACCCCTCACCCTCCTCCTTCCCCTGTTCGTCCCACCCCTCCCCCTCTGTGTCCGGCACCTTGTGCTGCAGGTAGTGCAGTATCACCGCCCACTCACCGCACCCACACTGACCTGCACCTTCCCCCTTCTCCCCTCCTCCTTCCTGTTCATCACAACCTCCCCTCCTTCCCTGTTCATCAACCCCCCCCCTCCTCCTTCCCTGTTCGTCCACCCCTCCTCCCTTCTCCCTTCTTTGTTCATCCCCCCCTCCCCCTGTTCATCCCCCCTCCCCCCTATTCGACCCACCCTCCCTCCTCCTTCCCTGTTCGTCCACCACCTCCCCCCTCTCCTTCCCTGTTCGTCCCACCCCTCCCCCCTCCTTGCGTCCGGCACCTTGTGCTGCAGGTAGTGCAGTATGCGCAGCAGGTCGCTCGTGCGCTGCTCGACGATGCCGAGATGAAGCATGATGTTGTTTTCGGTGATACCGCGCGGTTTCCACCGAGCAGCTCAGCGACCGCGACGCGGTCGCAGCCGATCTTGTCGAAGAGCACGGCCGACGCCTGCCTTCAGCTGGTCGAGAGCCTTGTTGCAAGCAGTCGCAGCTTCTCCTCCGACGCGTGCGCGTCGCTCGTCGCCTGACGCAGGCTGCTCCTGCGGGAGAAGCGAAGCGGGAAGCCATGAGGAGGCGGAAGGTACGAGCGCGTGTCACCCCCTCCCCCGCAGAGAGTCGCTCTCTTGTGAAGCGGGAAGCCATGAGGGGGAGAAGAAGTGAAGTGAGAAGCCATGAGGGGAGGAGGAAGCGAAGCGGGAAGCCATGAGGAGGAGGAGGAAGTGAAGCATGAAACCATGAGGGGGAGGAGGAAGTGAAGCATGAAACCATGAGGGGGAGGAGGAAGTGAATCATGAAACCATGATGGGGGGAGGAGGAAGGTGAAGTGGCAAAGCCATAAGGGGGAGGAAGGTACGGCGCGCGTAACCCCCTCCCGCCGCCCGCGCGCCCGAATTGCTGTTACTCGGCTGTGTTGATATTCACGCCGCCACGTGGATCCGAGAGACGGATCTGTATTATGGCATGATGATTATTGCAAAGACTAAATACATATGTATTACTAGACATCGTCGCTACAGTCTCACACCAACGTCCTATCTAAATACTATTTTACTTAGTATCCCCTAGTCGACGTTTAGTCCCTAGTATGGCCACCTTATATTTCATCAACTCTAACTCTTTACCTGGTAATATCAAGGCGGTTTCCACACAGTACGTCAAAATACATTAACGACGTTCAACAGCGAAACACGAGTATATCGTTCGAACCTGCAAAACGCACGAACGCGAAAACGAGTATACTCGTGGCAAAAAAATAAATAAAAAAATAAAAATTATTTGGAACGTTTAGCTATGTTCTCGTCCTATAGATGGCAGGTATAACGCTTAGCAATTCAATAGCGTCACTAGTAGTACCCCAGTAGTAGATGACATAATTTATACAATACATTACTGTTGTTGGAACGTTATTTTGGGAGTTTTTGGACTGAGGTAATGTTTTAT